ACCAGATCCGGGTTAGCAAATCTAATATGTGACGAAGCCTAGCAACTGTGCTTGATTTTTAATTCAGTTATTTTCAAATAGTAAACATTTTCTTGAACTGAATGATTCAAATTTAATAAAATAAAGAAGCTGATTAATGAATGAATATTCAAGTTTCATGAAATAAATAAGAAATGAACAACACTTTTCACTGACTTTAATTCTAAATACTTGCTAAGCAACAACTATATTTTTCAGAATAATTAATAATAGACATTAATAGAAGAAATGAAACAAAGTATATATTTAGTGGTAGACAATGTGTATTTATTATACTATGTAAAACGTTGTTACATCGAAAATAAATATTGTCGCATCGAAAAATAAGAAACTGAAATATAAAAAAAAATATACTCCTTAGACGAATTTCAAACAGCCACGAAAAATAGCTCTTCTTTTCAGAATGAATCTGGAATGAGTAACTCACTAAGATGTATAATTTCCTAGGACACTTATGAATGTTCTGCATGTTATTTACACTGTCCACTAAACTATCTGGGTGTCTTCGAGGGGATATTGTACCTCTTCTCTGTCAAAGCGATTATCAGCTCTTACGCAGTTTGGAGAGAGCTTGTTCTTTGTGAAATTCGCCTGCCAAGGGTATATCAGACAGTCTTTATAAGATTAAGGTTCGGGGAGTATGCAGGCCGTTTCATGCGTTTGCACCTACCCCACTCCTAAAAATGAACATGATCCAGAATAAACTCTCCGCAATACTACTGGGATGTAGCGCTACCTTGCTCAAAGATGTGAAGCGGTATTCTGTCATCGTGCATGACGTCTGCACACAACAGCACGCCTGTTCCATACCGATTACGCGTTCCCCTCTTTCTCCACACTAACTGGGGTGCAGAATAACTTGTCACAGAGAAGAGGGATTAGTCACAGAACATTAGTCTGGAACACTGTTGATGACCTCAACCAATACGTTCCTTATACAAGCGTAATCTTTCTCGACAATGGCATGGTTGAAGACAGGTGCACCGAGCAGACTTTTGTGCATACAAACCAACTTGAATGAATCGCCGTGAGTTTGTTCTGGCAGAAACCGGTGTATTGGTAGAAGTTGCCATGTCTGCAACTTTCATACAAGGCATTTCATACAAGTGACAATTCTGTTCCTTTTTGACACTAGGGATACATATTGGATCTCTTGAGATATGGTGTTCCTACCACGACCACCGCAGTGCTTTTTCGTATAGTATTTCCAGCTTCAGCGACCTTTTTTAATTACTTTTTTATGATCCTCCCATTACTGTGGCCACAGGGGTGGCACCTTAACCTGCTGCCAATCGTCCAACTGCTCGTCCACGATCGTAAGCACTAACATAATGTCGTGCCTATATTTTGCACTTAATTATTGAAATTCCACCTTGAATTTCGCAGAAATAATTTCAACATAATAAGGTGCTATATTGGTTAAACACCTAACAGCTTGAGTTTTCGAATGAATGAAGATCTTGTATACACTGCCCATCATACAGATAACCGGTCCTGCTTTACCACTCCCTCTGCGCTTGATTTTACGGTAACTAAGGGGCTTAAGGGAACGCTACTTTGAATATGTCAGCTGTTCCTTAGCAATTATCAAGCAGTGTATAGGGTAAATACTTTCCATAACTAAATCCTTATCAAGCAGTGTATAGTGTAAATACTTTTCATAACTAAATCAAGCCAGTAAAAAATTCCTAGCGCAGTTCAATATATAGTTAAAATTTTAATTCAACTGTGCTTGATTTTAGTTAATATAGTGTTTAAATTTTGATTTAAAATTTAGTGAAGTAATTAAAACTAAAGTTTAATAAAATAAACATCTCATTTACAATTTTTATAAATAGAGCAAACTGAGCACCTTTCACGAATTTTTCATTCTAAATATAATGGGAATACTTTTTAAAAACTAGAATGACTCAGCAAGAAAGTCGTAGTCCTGTCTAATGTAGGGAAAAAAGCTGTAAAAGTAAACTCCATAAGCTTGCTAAGTCTCGGTAATACCATAAGTCTTAAAACCCGAGGAACGATCGTTTCATCAAAGGTTGTTCGTGCCAAACCTTTTGGCATTAAATGCAGCCAGAAAAAATCGAAGACAGATTGAGAGAGATGCCATGTCATTCACAAGCTCATGAAAATGTTTTTTAGATAATAAATTTCGTGACTTAATCTACAATGAATTTAACATCACGTGTGGTGAAATAGAGCTTAAGTTAACGAGTCAGGAATAAAAGTCTATAATTTATGAATGATCTCAATATTTTATAGTTTATGATAGTAGCCAAATTATTAAAGCTGCTTTGATTTAATTTAAAAATTTATGTTCAGTATGCATTATTCAAAATTTGACTTTTTAATTTTAAAAAAGATGTTTTAACCCTTCGACGTAGAATTTTTATTAAATTTTTTCCTACTTTTTTCATTAATTTATATTAATTTGGGTCAAAATAAGTTCAAAATATTATATTCAGAGTTTTATTAGTTTATGATCATGAAATGTCACATGAAACACCGGTGTCTTTTTCGTCATGAAAGGTAAACAAAACTCTTCAAAACAATAATTTTTCAAATTTGCATTCAGTTAGAATTAAGAAAAATAGTTATTCATCATTGAAATTTCTTTAATTTTCAAAATGAAATATTGATAAAATTTTGAATATAAATGAAGAAAAAAAAACCAAAACAATTCCAACTTGAATTTTTTGTACAAATGTAATCTAACAAGTAATCATGTAAATGTAATCGTTTATTATATTAAAAAACAAAAAAATGTATTTTTGCTTGTAATTAAAGCTTCAGAAAAAAATATATAAATGGGGCAAAGTTATCTCATCTGTGCAAAAGGGTTAAAACAATGGCTCCCGAAATAGATTTAAACGTTAAGGAAAACATAGTTCTACAAAATTCACGAAATTATTCTAATAAAATCTATACCGAATCTCAGAACCGAACTCCATACCGAAACACAGAATTTGTTTCTGAAATAAAAGATTACTTCTTATTATAGTATATTAAAGTAGCAAACATTAGAACTAAAAGTTATTTTTTAACTCACAAAAATAACCTTTAAGTGTTTATAAAAAACATATTACATTCTTCCCCCAGCTAGGTGCAATTATATTAGTTCAATCAAACAAATTGCAGTCTGTTTTAATTCTGTCAGTAATACGAAGTACAAAACTATTATATTTCACAGCTAAAAGGTTTCATTTGCAAACCTTAAAAATGACAAAAAAAAAAAGAAGAAAAGAAAAAGCGTAATCGAACAATGTATAACTCATTCGAACAAATATTATTTTAAAAATTTTATGCGAAAAAACGAAGTCTTTTTCATTTTTTTTAAATAAAAGTCTCTCTATATAAATGTATGGACTAGAGTTTCGCTACCTTCTCTCATGTATCAGAGAAATCGGCCGTTATGGCCGTTTCAGTTTGATAGCCTGTACCTATAGATATCGGATGTATTCTACCCTTAGAGGCACTGTTCCTGGTGTAAAGTTGAAATATTAAGTCTGGGAAACCTATGTTTGTCTTTCCAGGTGTGCAAATGACAATGATTTCATTTTAGAGTGAAAACGTGTGCCACAGACAGCTAGGTGCAAGGTTCGCAAGTATAATTTTATCACAGTGCAGAAAAGTTTACCATTTATATAAAAAAGTGGCAACAGATTAGATGCAAGAATAGAACGCTTTGCTTTAAAATATTTGTCGCTGTTTATTAAAATGCTTTTTTTAAATATCTTCTCGCTTTTTTTAATCACAATTCATTTAAACTAAATTTCTTGTCTTTCAACCCTACCTTATATAGGTCTCTCAACTTCAATTCTGCAAAGCTCTTTTGAAGAAATTTGCATTAAAAAACTGGAATCTTTGTGAAAATGATGACTGTTTTTAGAATAACTCTCCTTTGTAATGAGTGTTTCTTAATTTTTAATTAAAAGTCATAATTATGTGTTTTACTAAATAAACTAAGAAATTTCAATTTTTTAGAGACTTTCTCCGTATATTTGACTGTTTAAAGATGTTTGGTTAAGAAAAAAACGGTTTCTCTTTGTTTTTTACCTTAATCATGAATGGAATATAACTGTTTAATTATATTCGTGTTTTTGCCATTCAAATTCACTTACCATCCGATAACTATCTTTTTTTTAAAACTCATTTCATGATTATATCACTATCTTTCTTTTATTTTTCAGCAATTATTTTATGATTTTGAATATCTCAAAAGTGAAACTGCTATTTTATTGTCAAATAAATACTCTACCTGATTATTATATTTACTTCGATATAATTGTTTGGTAAGTTAAGTTGCCAAAATATTTTTATTCGGGTGGGCTGCTCTACTTTTAAACGCTTTTGCTCCTAAATATTGTTTTAATAGGTAAGACTTTTAAGATAAAAACAGCTTAAGAATTTTCTAAATAATTGGCATACTGGAGCTGTAGAAGCTTAGAGCACAGGGAGCTCTTCTCCTTCCAATGAGGGAACCCAGATTCAAATCCCAGCTTCGACTGGTCATACGAATGCTTGTTTCGACGCATACCGACCACAACGATATCGTTATGTTATAGAATTTTTTGTTAAAATAACAGAGTTTGTTTGTCAAAATGTTGGTGCGTGTAAAAATAACACTACTGATCTGCTTAAAAAACAGTCATCTGTTTTTAAGTAAAAATATTTTGCTGCCAAATAATCGGTTTCATACCGGCACGCCAGTTGACAATTTTTTTCATAAATGAAAAAAAAAAACTAAATTGAGTTATCTCTCTATAAACGAACTACCCATTTCTTAGTTATTCATTATAAGCGAATAAAATAACATTAGTTAAATAGTAGTTCGGACAGGATCATTTAAAACGCTCACTATAATCCAGTGTTCGTTATTATAAACGGGGTTCATTATAGCAGGGTTAGAGTTATGAGATTTAAAAAATCAGTATAAGGTAATAGAAAATAAAGTATATACTCACCAGTAACAGTCGGGGATGCTTTCAATCTCTCAGCTTCAGAAAAACTTCGTGACGATAATACACTTGAATGAGATTTAGAATTCGTCAATTTATAAGATTTTACACTTTCATTCTCTTTTCTACCAGATTTGCCTTTATCATTCGCATCAACAATTCGATCAGTCGGATCATCCGATGCACTAACTGACATTTCATCAGTTTTTTCTATCCCGAGCACTTCTTTCACTTTTGACCAACGTGAAGGACGTTTTTTGTTCTTCGAATGGCCAGCATGTCCAACTGACTTACTTCTTTCCCGCCTTTCTTTATTTGCTGTCGCACTGCGACTCTTGTGACCTCTTTCGCCTTTATAATCCGCAGTAAGATGATTATCAGTTTTACTCCGGTACAGCTTGTACAATTCCTCCTGAGAGATAGCTGCTAAATGGTTGCTATCTTCAGGACTTTCATCTGAAATTGTCCTTTCTCCAGATTCTTGAAGTTGTTGGACGTCATCCTCACTGAGCCCTGAGCTGTAAACCTTCCTTTCCCCAACCATCTCCTTGTGGATTTCGTGCAAAGTCTTAATATCTTCCAGATACTGTACTCTGCGCTTCAATTTAATGTTTGCTTCTTTTAAATCACTCAACTGTTCCATAAGTTTGCATAAATTGTCCAAATGATCCAATCCAACTTTGGGATTGGGATCATTTTGGTGTTTCTTTGAGTTTGTTGGTTGTTGTTCTGGCAGCAGTTGAGCTGGAACGTTCGACACATTAAGAGGAAAGGACATGACGTATTCCATAAAGTCTTTTTCCACCTGCAAGACATCGCTCATGGACGATAAAGACTGGTCAACGTCATCCGGAATGCTAAAAGGGAATGCTTGTTCAAGATTGTGAATGCTTGGAGATACTCCCTGACTTGAAAGTCCTGTCAGTGGGGATGTTCCAGAACTACTGGCTGGTGTGCTAGCTGGAAAACTTTCGCTATTGGCCATGCTAGCCAATGCTTCTTCCCACTCTGTGGTAGTTACTGACGAGGGCCGAGATTCATTATTTTGAAGTTTAGATGATCTTGAGTGTTTGGAACTTTGTTCGGAAATAAGGTCACCTTCGTCGATGTCCAAATAAACGTCTTCAAGAGAAGAATCGTCATAGACGATGGATGAAGATTTTTTCAGCGTTGAAGGATTCCCTCGGTTCATAGCAGAATTTCTAGAAATTCAAAGAAAATTTATTTTAGTTGAAATTGTAAAATTTTGATGCACTTTTGTCAGAGCTTTAAGTATCCACGTAACTTATGACCCTTACTGAAGAGCCTATTTATATTTATTGAAACGTGAAATAACGACGAATTTTGAGAAATTCGTATAAAAATATAGATTATTATCGTTTAAAAATTAATTACGTTGAAAATTTATATGTTTAATGCTTAAGTATTTGATAGCAACAATTTTAAATATTAAATCTGAGTGATCGTTTATTTGCATGAGATTGATTATTTGAGAAATATTAATTTCACACTTACAGGTCATAAAATATTGAATTTTATATTAATTAAACCGAATTTCGAATAAAACTTTACCAAGAGAAAAATTATGATACATTTGGTTCATAATTCCAGGTTGGATCATTTATAAAATTCTAACTAATAATTTATTATTAATAAGATTTAGTTGATTTAAAGTGGTTCAAAATACATACCTTGTATAGCAACATTTATTAAAATTATTATCAATAGCTTAAAGGTTTTCGTTTCGTTTAAATTTGAAAGTTATAAAGTACATAAAGACTTTCGTATCACAAAACTTATTTTGAAGAACTGATTTTTATATTATAAATTTATTATTTTACAACGATTATTGCTTAGTAAATTTAAATCAATACCTTATACCATTGTAATATAGTTAAATAAAACCATATAAATCATGCAATTTGACAACTTTAAAACAAATTGCAAATACTTACGGTAAAATAATTCACTCTTTCGTTACGTAATTGTTAAGAAAGTTGAATGTACGTTAAAAATTACAAGACCATAATCATATTGAATGAATATGATTATAAATATTCACTATGACATACGTAGGCTATTTACTTGAGAACAATGAATATCAGCGTAAACTTAAACGAATCTAATTTAAGTGATATTTATTCAAGTAAAAAGTTTTAACAGAGTTTTTTTGTTATCTTTTACCATCTTGTGGTAGAGTTTGTTGGCTTTTGGCAGCATTATCCTTAATCCACTAAATACGTCTACCAGACTGTCAAATCCGATTCTCGTCGAGTTCAAAGATCTGAGAAAAAGTTTGGGCGCGTGGCGACAACAGATCTTTAGTCTAGTGTGATGATAGAAGACTTGTCTAGAGAGTTGTTCACAACTAAAGCTCTTATTTTAAACGAATAAAGAATCAAATTGTACTGTTTAGCTATGAGGTGTTTTTAGTTTAAGACGAGAAAAGTGTGAGACGGTAATTTACAAACTTTTGTTTAAAAAAAAACGATGCCCTTTTTAAGCTAAGTTTCTGTTCAATAAAATTTAATACTACTCTTAGAACAAAAGTCTTAAAATATTTGAAATAATTACTTTTTTTTATCGACTTAATTATTTTATCAACTTAATAAATCTTTCATTATATACTGGAAAAGTGATTTGAATTTATGCATGGCTACGCTTTAAGAGCAATTTTATAAGGAGATAATTATTTCAGCCTTTAATTGATTATTTGTACTTCACCTCAAACTGTGCAGACAAAACATGAAAGCAACAATTAAAAACTACTTAATTAAAAAGTAGATCTTAGAATTGCAAGGAACTGAACTCAACTCAGAAAACAAGAATCTGTTTTTAGAGTTTTTTTACATAAATTCACATAAAAACAGTTAGTGGGGACAATGCGTAATCATCTACGAAATCCCATCAATTTAGCAATTTTTCTCAAAACAATTTTGGTAAACATAGCTGAAAAAAAGTCATTTAGCTGAAAAAAAGTTAATTTAGTAACATTCGCAAGGAATAAATTTGGAAAGCGTATTTACATACTACCATTTTAATTAACTTTTGAATTGAATAATTGAAGTAAATGTAATAAGATAATCAAGTATTGTTATTTTTAGAAGTTACTGTTATTTGTGTAGATTACAGTATGCAAAAAACAACATATAAGGAAACAATTAAATAGTTAACTTTTTGATTTGTTTCCAACACGTTTTCAATTGTTATCTATTTCCGGATTACATATACACCGAAGAGCCATTACATTATGACCACCTTCCATTTATAACAATGGGCTCGCCCAGGTTTTCATGGTTTCTCGCCCAGGAACAATGTCTTCATGGGGCACATTAGGACCCATAATCCTCATAGAACAATCCCTGACGTCTGCAAGCTACTTGAACATAGTTGCAGACCAGGTTCACCCATTCATGGCAACAGTTTTTCCTGCGGGGGATGGTGTTTACCAACAGGATAATACACCATGTCATAATGGTGGAACCGTCATGGATTGGTTCGAGGAACATTCCAGTGACTTTCAAGTCATGTCTTAGACCCCAAATTCACCCGACCTTAATCCAATTGAGCATTTGTGATCCAACTTGGGAAACCAAATTCATGCTGCCACGCTAGCCCCTCGCAATGGGAGGGAATCGCAGGACCAGTTGATGAACGCTTGGTACCAGATACCTCAGACTACCTATAAGCACCTTGTGGAATCAGTGCCACGGTGGGTGTTAGCAGTTTTGAGGGCTAAAGGTGGTCCTACATGTTATTAGCAGGATGATGATAATGTAATGGCTCTTCGGTGTATATTTTTAATATATTTCGGACTATGAAATTCCAAACACATGCATCTCATATCTATAATGAACTAAACTAACTCAGGGGCGTGACAGCTCATATAGGGGCAAGGCCGACTGTGCCCATCACAGTTTTCGTGACCATGGGCTCTGGGGTGCAGGAGCAGATGTTCCGGTTAGGTGGTCAACCGAACGCGAAACCCCCAGTGCTTAGTTCTCAAGCATGCTTGGTACTCATTTATCGACCCAATGAAGGGATGAAAGGCTGAGTCTTCCTTGCCCGGCCCGAGGATCGAACCCAGGACCTGTGGCACCAGGAGCGCAAAGCGCTACCACTCAGCCACTGGGCGTCCATATCTATAATGAATTTTTTTAAAAAAAACATGAATATGCACTAGAAAATGAGTACAAAATTCAGTTAAATATCTTTTTAGTAACATTAGATAGAAATCAGATGCTCCTTAAGGGAAAGTGAATTGAAAATAAACTAGAACATTCTTATTTTTAACCATATGTTCGACAACAAAATTTGTTGAGCATGTCTATAGTTTATTAAAATCATTTAAAAGATAACTGTGCTAAAAAAGGATTTTCTTTCAAAGTGAATTGCTTTGACTTATTTTACGCAACAATTTAAATCTTTTTTTTTAAAAAAAATATTCAAGTTTTGAGCGAAATATTTCTGAGAATGCTTCAGGAAAAGAACTCATTTTAAAACATTTTGGCCAAAAACTTGGATAAATTAATAAATTCAGAAAACTTTATAAAGTATTTTGTTTACCTATTTGTTTAAATATATTTCCCAAACTTTGAAGTAAAAATTCAACACAAGTTAGAAAGATTTCTATTTATAAATATAATCCAACCTAATTGTAAATACCTGTTTTAAACTAGGTTTTTGCTTATTTCAGTTTTGTTTTATTGTTAAAATGGATTGTCGTGTCTTTTGGCTTAATTCATTGATGAATGACAAGCAAGTTTTCAGCAAAAGTAAAACTTGATAACCTTATTTTATATTTTCACCACTTTTTTTCCTTCGAACTGCTGCTTAAAACTGAGAGTATCTTTCTGTAATGATGCTAAATTTTATTTTTAACTTCATGCATTTTTTTGCATGGAAAAGCAGTTTGAGCAATTAATTTAAAAATCTTAAAAATTAGTAGATGATTTTAAAAAAACAGACTAAAATCATAATTTTTTTAATATAAATAAGTTTATTACTTTTGTAGGCATTTATTTTTAAATGAGAAATGCTTAATTATTCAAACTTGTTTATGTATTCAAATCTACTCAATTAACTGAATAGAAAATAAATAGTTAATAAAAATAGTATTACACGAAGATACAAATTCTGATAAAGTTATCAGACGGTATACAATAAACTTATTTCTCAAAACAGTTTAACTCTCTTAAAAAAATATTCAAGTTTCGAGTAAAGTATTTTTAAAAATGTTTCAGAAAATAAACTTATTTTGAAGCATTACTTATTTTGTAACAACTTGAGTAAATAGATGAATTCTGAAAACTTTAAAGTATTTTGTTTTCCTATGTTTTTAAATAAAAATTTCACTAAATTTAAAGTAAAAATTTAACTAACGCCAGAAAGATTTCTGTTCATAAATATATTCAACCTATTTGCAAATGCCTGTTTTAAACTAGGTTTTTGTTTGTTTCAGTTTTGTTTTGTGTTTAAAATGGATTTCACGCGTCGTACCTTTTGGCTTAGATTACTGATAAATGACAAACAAGTTTGAAGCGAAAGTAAAACTTGATAACATCCTTATTTTCCATTTTCACCACTTTTTTTTTCGAAGACAGAGTGTCTTTCTGTAATGGAACTAAACTTTATTTTTAACGCCAAGCAAATCTTCTCTTGGAAAACAGTCTGAGCAATTAATTTCAAAACCTTAAAAATATTAGGTGATTCGAAAAACCAGACTGAAATTACGAAAATTTCCTAAAAATAATTTTATTACTTTTCTAAGCCATTATTTTTGAATGAGAAATGCTTGATAATTTGAACTAGTTTATCTATTTAAATCTACTTAACTAATTAAACAGAAAAATAAATAGTTAATAAAAATGGTGTCACATGGAGAAAAAAATTCTGGTGAAATTACCTTACTAGTACGGTAATGACAATAGTATTAGTAAAAAATAACATAACTCTATCAATAAAACCGAAAATTTATATTAAATCAAGAAATTGGGTAATTTTTCTGTTTCTATGGTAATGGTTTACCGAAAATTCTGGTTTTCTAAATTATAGTCCTTATTACCAGACACTTAGTAAAGTCTTAGTAAAGACATTTCTCATTCAGTACAAAGTTTTAAAAACAAATTTGACTGAATAAATGGCTTTTAAGCTGTTATCTATGATATCGTGATAAAATTACTGAATTTTATTATATTTACCA